TTAGAATTATTAACGCCGCAATTGATAGCAAAACGTACGTCTCTTTCGGGTGCATCACAACACGAAATGAGATTATCAAATGCACGTTCGACTTGTAATAGGCCAGAGCCTTGTGCAAATGGATCTAAATTAGGTACATAAAGAGCAGTATTCTCAAGTGCTCTTTTTATACTATAAGGAGAATATAAAGAACCCTTGGCAAGAAGACCCGATACAAGAACCGCTGAAAGAATGATATAAAAATATTTTTATAATCATATCAAAATTTAATATGTCATAGATATATATAGAAATTTCGATACACACCAACTGCTCCAGTAACATGTGGACTTGCCATACTCGTACCATTCATAAGTTGACTTTTTCTAAGAGTAAAATTTGGAACGCTGGTAATGGCACCTCCTGGTGCACATACTGTTACACCAGCACCTCCATCTATCATTGGACCACGGGAGGACCAAGTATATGGCATGCCTGGCATCTTTTCTCTTAAAGAATATTCGGCTACCATCATATCAGGTGATACGTAAGCACCAACACTAATAATACTGTTTGAACTGATGTCTGGAGGAGTTCCTATATATTTTTTAAAGTATTTAGATATAAGATGTCAAGACACATAGCACAACAAAAACTGTCTTAAGTATATTTTGTATTGATAATATTAATAGAAATTGTAATAAAATTAAATTTTAAGAAGATATAATAGAATGTGTGTAATAAAAAGAATAAAGAATTTTATATTTACCAATAGTACACAAAGCTGGGCCCAGATTGCCAGCAGATGCAACCCATATTACACCATATTCATCAATAACTTCATTCATTAATTCTCCTATTCTACCTGTATTTGACCAGTGAGCGTGTTCACCATAACTCATGTTTATAACGTGAATCTTCTCTTTACGTTGCATTATATGGATCATTGCCCGCACTACTGAAGTTCCAGTTTCCATTGTGCCAATACGACCATCACCGACAGTAAGTGAAATAATTTGGGCTCCTGGTGCCACTCCATTCAATTCTGGATTATCAGGAAAATATGCAGCTGCTATTGATGCGACATGTGTCCCATGACTCGCTGCAATATAATTTAATTAAAAGTTTAATAGAAAAATCGAGCATTTATAATTTTATAAAACTTCAACAAGATTTTTGTTCATACTTACAGCATAAGCTGACAATTTCTAATGTATTGCCTTCATCATGAATATTAATACTAATATTTAACTGGTCTTCTTGTGTAAGAGGAGCAAAATCTCTCGTGATAGAATATTCACCAAGAAAAACGCCAGTTTCCAGGTTACCCACTTCAGAAGTATCAATACATGCTCTGTCATAGAAGAAATAAACATCAAATCAAATAAGTAAATATAATGCAATTTAAATTTTAAATAAATAGGTATGTGCATATTTAGACTTATCACATACTCGAAATATGATTACCTCCAAATATTACCATCATGGAAAACAACGCAATCGTAAGTAGGTCCTACATCGCAATACTTTTTTTCAATATTATTCAATACTTCAACTCGAGCTTCAAACTCTTCTTTTTGCAGTCTTTCTTCCAAAGTCGATAATTGTGGATTTTTATTCTCAAATTCCTGTATTATATTTAAGAATATTATATAGCTAATATTTATAAAGTACTTGTATCATTGGTTAATTATTAATTAAAAAACGAATAATGTGTTGATATCAATTTACTTCATAAAAAACACATAAACAGGACAATACATATTTTAATAATAAATATTTTAACAAAAAACATCTGCTTATAATAATTTAATTCAACATATAAAATATTTTCAATTCTCTCTCTCTCTCTCTCTCTCTCTCTCTCTCTCTCCCTCTAACAAATTTTTTACGTTAATGATATATTTTTATATCTTCAATTTCTTGTATAATATATATTTTAAAATAGTTTTACATGCCTTCTTGAACACTTAAAAATATTTAAATTATATACTATAAAAATGTCATAAAATTAATAAAAATGTTATACATATATGTATCATTCACGATAATAGGCTTTACTTAAGATATTATATAATAGAATCAATGGCTTTACAATAGATCAATCTGCCAAATATAAATATAGCATTAGATACAGATCACTGTGACATGTTGTGAAATAGCGGCCTCATTTAATTGCATGGTTTGACATGCATTCCTATCTTTGGATCACACATGGACTAATTATAATACTATTCAGAGACATTTTTATTGATTTTCAGTTCTTGCGACTTTCATAGCATTGTAATTATTTATATGCCTTAAAGACAAAATAACAATTTGATGGTGAAAAATTTCAATAAATATATTTTAAAATATCACAGTGAGATGGATAATTAATAACAAAGAGATTAATAACATTCAATTCGATTAAAATTCTCATACATGTGAGTTTGGAAAGTTGTAAATATATATAAGGAAGTGAATTATAATCCATTTTTTAAACAAATATAAAGAATTAACATATTTTAATACAAAATATTTACCTGTAATTGTCTGGAGGCTTCTGCAAGTGCTGCTTTATGTCCATCATCCCAAAGACGCTTCTTGCGTTCTGCCACTACCCTTTCCTTTAGTTTATTAGGATATAATGAATACAGATTCTTTAAACCGATATGATATTCTCCACCAGGATTATTCCAATTAGATGGAACCTAAATAATAAATAATAATCAAATGTTGTAATTAATATATATAAATTGTTATAATAAACTATATACTATATAGTAACTAGCTATATATAGTTAATATAATTAATTTAATTGATTTTACAGTTGCACTTACTTATACTTTTGTAACTAACAATTTAAAATTCTAAAAGTATCATTAGGTTATAAATAAAAAAATGTATAGTGTAATTTTCTACATAACACAATATCTTTTCTATACAATAAAACAGTTTACATAAACAGAATACAATATACCTTTAATTTACGACCAGTCAGGCCAGTTATATATCCATCAGGTGCTTGAACAATTTTGCTAGTGTCTACATCCCCTGCTCCGCTACAGTCAAATCTCTCAATAATTTTGGGTTTTCCATCTGAAGTCACCTAAATCCCATATGTATTGATTTATAGATAACAATGTTTATTTTTTCACTAAAGTTTTTAATAAAGTTTTATTAAAGGTTTAATAATGTGTGTGTTCTATAGAGCTTTAACAATATTTTAATTATTAAAGATTTAATAAAAATTGTCGAAAATACAATAAAAAAATAAAAATAAAAATAGTACACTTTAAAATGCGATTTAAAAAACTTGTTAATTAAATATACTGACAAAACTTATAGTATAATGCAAGAATAGCTATACAAATTTGAAATTACTGTGAAAAAACTCAGCCGCAATTAAATTAGATTTATTATTGACATAACAAAGCTCACACAACAATGACTTCCTATCATAAGATTCTATCATAAGATTTTCTCATAACATAACATCATGATCTTATCGAGCAAATGAACAGCATGACTTTTATCTTTTGATAGAGATAGTTGACGAAATGCGGGAAATATCTCGAACAAAAAAATTAAGGAGCAAACACTAAAAACGATACCCGTCGAGACACATTTATCACATTTATTTCAAAATTTTACACTTGCGTTTCGAAGAAAAGGCGGTTCTTGGATAAAGAGAATTAGCATCGTGAGGAGCTAATTTTTTTGGGAGGTGTGTCAACCAACTAACCAATACTAACCAATGTCCATGAATTCACCCTTGGCTTACCTGCATACCCGGAGCTCCGGGGTCCACCCCCGAGTCCAGTATCGCAATGACAACACCCCGTCCATCGTACTCTGGATATTTAGTAAGAAACTGAGTGACACCTGTCTCTTTTTTAGGCAGCAGGCCCCAAACAGGAAAGTTACAATCGATGACGTCTGCCATGTTTCAAGTGCCACCGTGACTGCAGGAAAACCACCCGAGATGTTTCCTTTGTACTATCGTATAGCCTTATATATTAATCGAAGAACTGGCTCTGCGCCTGCGTGTACGCCAGTTGAGATACATCAGTTTTTGAGGTTAGATTAGGTTAAAGACGGACGATACATACCAATATGCATCCGTACCGTTGACGACGGTCTATAATTTTATGTTAATTTTGTTATGTAGGTGCTTTACAAATAAATATGCGACTCGACAAATTATTGCCGTAAAGATGCATATTTTTATGATTCTCACTTGCATGGATAACTGGAGTATATGTCGTGACAACAATAATGAGAGTGCAATTTTATAACTCAAATATTATTCTTAATATAATATGTATATATAACATCTATATACTTATGTCTATAACATGATAATATT